CGGTGGGTAGGGAAGGCAAGAAAGGGCTTAGACCCGAAGACAAGGGGGGAGGGGGTGTGTCGGATTCCTGGTCAAGGAACACTTGTTTGATGTGGTGGAAGTAGTGGTGAAAACGGAGTTCGAGGAAAGCCTCTGGCTAAAGATACCTGGGGAGCGGGGTGAGAAAGACTTGTTTCTAGGGAACGTATACGTCCCACCGTCGTCGAAGAAAGTCGCAAGCAAGGCGCAGGAGAACTTTGGACAAATTGGGGAAGATGTCCAGAGGTTCAGTAGGAAGGGAGAAGTTGTCATGGTGGGCGATTTCAACTCCAGAGTAGGGAAAGCTTCCAGTAGAGGACAGGCGATCGGGCAGCACGGAGAAGACAAAGTGAATGACAACGGAGTGAGGATGCTTGAATTCTTGGGAAGCAACGAACTGATGGTGTTGAACGGTAGGAGGGAATGCGATAAGCCGGAGTTCACCAGGCAACGGGCAGTTTGCAATGAATACTCGATCCTCGACTTCATCCTGGTAGATAGGGGGAGCACACAGATTCCAGAGCTGCGCGTAGGTGCGGTAGATATAGGTTCGACCGACCACTTCCTCATATGGGCAAACATCGACCGATCTAGAAAGATCAAGAGTAAGAAACAGAGGAAAGTGTTCCGGTGGAAGGTAGAGCGTTTGGGAGACGATGGGACACGGGATGAATTCCAGAAGGGGCTGGCTGGTAGTGTAGAATCCTTCAGGAAACTGCTGAGAAGCGTCGAAGACGGACAGGTAGACGTACAGGCAGCAGGGGACAGGGTGATTGAAGGGTGGGAGTCCATCGTGAACGCAACGGCAGAGAGAGTAGTGGGAACGAAGGTGGTACGATGTGGGGTATCGGTTAAGTGGTGGGATGACGAGCTGAAACAAGAAATAGGGGAACGTAGAAAAGTCTTCAAGCAGTTTCTGAGTAAGGCGTCTGAGGAGAGTTGGGAGAAGTACAGGGCCGAAAGAAAACAGGTGAAGGGACTAGTGAAAAGAAGAAAAAGTGTATTTGGGACGAAGTAGTGCAGAAGGCCAACGGAGGCCTGGAGGGAAACGTCAAGCAGATGTGGGAAGGGATTAGTGGAATGGTAAAAAAGACCGCGCAAGGGGGGGATACAGGGGTAGCAACTTTGCGAGGTGTGAACTGTGGACTAGTCAGCAGTGGGAAGGGAAAAATGGAGGTTCTAGCAGGACACTACAAGAGACTTGGAGTGCCCTCGGAGAATGAAGCTTTTGACCAAGCGTTTCAGAAGGAGGTGGACGCATGGGCCCAAAAATAAGAAGAGACATCGAAGGCAGACGTTGGGAATGTAGAACTAGAAAAGGGGTTCACTGAGGACGAGGTTGAGGCGTGTGTGAACAAGCTCAAGTGCCACAAAGCAGCAGGACCGGATGGGATAGTCAACGAGTTCATGAAGTTTGGGGGGAAGAGGATGATCCAGCTGACGGTACTGCTACACAATTGGGTGTGGAAAAACGAGTATACGCCAAGTAGACGGAGGGAAGGNCAGACGTTGGGAATGTAGAACTAGAAAAGGGGTTCACTGAGGACGAGGTTGAGGCGTGTGTGAACAAGCTCAAGTGCCACAAAGCAGCAGGACCGGATGGGATAGTCAACGAGTTCATGAAGTTTGGGGGGAAGAGGATGATCCAGCTGACGGTACTGCTACACAATTGGGTGTGGAAAAACGAGTATACGCCAAGTAGACGGAGGGAAGGAGTGGTTGTGAACTTGTTTCAGAAAGGAAACAAGACTGACCCAGGAAACTACAGGGGGATCACACTGTTGAACACAGTAGGGAAAAGTGTTCTATAAGCTGCTGAACGATAGAACAGTGGGAGAATTGGAGAAGAAACATAGCATTAGTGAGGGCCAGGCAGGTTTTCGAAAGAAGAGGGGGTGCGTGGACCATGTATTCACAGCAGGGAGAATCATCGAAGGTAGAAAGAGGGTGGGGAAGCCGACGTACTGCTTCTTCCTGGACGTGAAAAAGGCATACGACACCGTATGGAGAAATGGGTTGTGGAAACAACTGTCCAAATACGGGATCAAGGGGAAAATGTGGAGAGTGCTGAAGAAGATGACAGAGTGCACGAAAAGCGCGGTCATGCTAGACGGAGAACTGTCAAAATTCTTCGACATTGAGCAGGGGGTCCCACAAGGTTGCACGCTGTCCCCAACATTGTTCCAGGTGTTCATCAACGATCTGTTGGAAGTCGTAGAGGCAGTCCGGAAGGGAGTAAAAGTAGGGGACACGGAAACGTCCGATTCAGGAATGCTGTTTGCGGATGATTTTGTCGGTATTTCGGACACCCCTGAGG